CCCACTGGACTCCTCCGGGGCGTGGGAAATGCTTAAAGGAAGCCAGAGTCTGGAGACTTGAGTGGCTTGGCTCCCCGTGTTTAGCCTCTACCTCACCATTACTAACTGTGTTTCCAGGTTTCGACCCAAAGTGCGCCACCCCCTCCCCCCATACTAAATGCCGAGACCGGGGGAGATGTTAAAGAACTCACAGATGCTTTGGGGGTTCATAGGCGCGATGGCTGGATTTACGCGCGTTTGTCCGAGAGGCGCCTCTCTCAAATTCTGTTCGCGTGGACATGGGCGCATTCCTGGTCTAATGTGACCTCTGAGGATTATTAAAACAACAACAAGGAAGTCACAGCCTAGTGAAGGTTGCGGGTTGCCAGAGTCCTACGCGTAGGCTTGACATAAGGCGTCATTCCATCTGTGTAGCAGGTGCCACGCGCTGCGGCCCTTGGACCATTTGGGAATCCGCAAATCTGCAGCAGACAGCTACATGCGCTAATCTGAACCTGCTCCCATCACCTCTGGTGTCAGAATCCAACCACATAAGCCTAAGCCAGGACCAGCAATAACAGGAAACTGCCGCCTTGGGGCCAAAGCCTGAGTGAGTGCAAAGTATATTAAAGCAGCGCCCGAAAGATTGTCCTGACAGTTGTCTCAAGTTCTGTCGTCTTGTCTTGCATAGCGAACATGGCAGGTGATGGTTCAAGTACTTGGGTCCCTGCCACCCATGTGGGAGACCCAGATGGAACTCCAGGTCCTTGGCTTCAGCCTGGCGTGGCCTTGGCTGTGGGATTTCAGAAGTGAACCAATAGTTGGAAGATTTCTCTCAAGTCTTTTTCTCTGTACCTTTCAAATGAGTTTTAAAGGTTTTTTTTTTTTTTCTTAAGATATATTTATTTTTATTGGAAGCTCAGATGTACAGAGTGGAAAGACAGAGAGGAAGATATTCCCTCCTCTGATTCACTTCCCAAGTAGCGGCAACAACCGGAGCTGAGCCAATTCAAAGCCAGGAGCCCAGAGCCGCTTCTTTGTCTCCCGCGCAGGAGCAGGGTCCCAAGACTTTGGGCCGTCCTCAACTGCTTTCCCAGGCCACCAGCAGGGAGCTGGATGGGAAAGCGGGGCCACCAGGACACAAATTGGCGCCTGTATGGGATCCTGGTGTATGCAAGGCAAGGACTTTAGCCACAAGGCTACTGCTCCAGGCCTGTTTTTTTTTTTTTTAAGGCATCTCTTTACCCCAAATTCTAAAACCTGTGTTGTCATTCCTTAGTGCTTTGCAGTCAATACAATAATTGAAAGATGGGGGGAAAAATGTAATTGAGCACAAACCTGACAAGAAATTCTTTAAAAAGGCCTGGAGCAGTAGCCTAGCGGCTAAAGTCCTCACCTTGCATCATCAGGGGACTGTAAAAACAGCATTATATCAAGTTCCTTTCCAAGTCGGGCAGGGGTTGGCATTTGACCCAGTTCTTAAGTTATAGTATACAGTAGCTGCCTTCTATATCAGAGTGATGTGTTCAAATCCCCACTACTCTGTTTCCAGTTTGGCTTTATATAAATAAACTGAGCAAAACCAAGGAGGCAGCGGATGATGGCTAACTTCTTGGACCCCACCAGGATGAAGCTCCTGGCTCCCAGCTTCAGCCTGACCCAGCATGAGCAGTTGCAGAATGGGTTGGCATTTGGAAGATCTCTCCCGTTCCTCCACTCTCGCTTTTCTGTATTCCTTTCCAGTTAAAACAATAACAGAAAGCCATGTTTTCAACAACAACAAATTAAAAGAAAAAAATGTCAAAAGGCTTCTAGTTGAAAGAACCATACACAGATGAAACTTGATTTACCGTTTTCACCCCAAATGCCTTATCAGCCCCTTTGTCTCACCACAGTCACACTTTCTTAACCATCATCAAGAATCCTTGCACCTGCATACCACACAACTATAGCCTGCGGGTTCAGAGAAGATTTGGGGTTGCAAACAACTTGGCCATTTTCTAAGTCTGAGCTTTGGTACTTAGGTGAGCCACAGGGAACAAAGTCAAGTGCCTAAAGGGAGCTTAAGGTTAAGGGAAGGACACATACCCGGGTTAGAACTCAATGGCAAGTAGGAAAGAAGTTAGCGTAAAACCACCTAGGGACGTTTTTAAATCACTGCATCAGAATGGCTCTCAGGATAAAATCCAACCCAGTGGCTGGATGTTGGCATGAGTTACAGCCCTGCGCTTTTCACTCTCTTTGTCTGTAGCATTTTATGCTTGCTAGCATTCCTGTGACATTGAACCAGGCTGATGTACGACCTCTAGTAAATGTAGTTTATAAACACTGAGTCTTAACTCTCAGTAGGGGCATTCCCTCCCCATGTGTTGAGCGCGACAGCCTAGTCCTTCCCCTGAGAACCAGACTGTGGCATCTCTGCCAGGCTTTCAGATCTAGGAGGGCACGAGGCATGGGACAGCCAGTGCCATGTGGGACTTGACACTAAAATTCTGCAGCATCTGCCCTCTGAACCAGTGCTCTTAATGGCCCCTCTGCCCCTAAAATGCAACATGTCCAAAACCAAAATCATCCACCACATGACTCCACTAGCACCTCCATCTGAGAGATTTACACCTCTCGTGTTTACTGCCACACTCTGGCTTCTCTTCATAAGCCTGTTTGTCTATGTGTATTTTCTGCCCTGGTTGGTATCATTTCCCTCTACATGGTACCCGAGGAAAAAGTTTACGGGTTGAACCAGTGTTGGGGAGGAGCAAGTAAACCTGCTGCCTATGATGTTGGCATCCCACGGGGGCCCCAGTTTGGGTCCCACCTGCTCCACTTCAGGTCCAGCTTCCTGCTACTACACCTGAGAAAGCAGCAGAGGATGGCCCAAGTGCTTGGGGCCCCAGTGCCCTGAAACATTCTTCAGTATTTTACTGTCTCTTTTCTATTCATCCTGCTGTTAATTAGTTTTCATTCTGTCTCATCACTTAAACCTTATCCCAGCTTCTACATCTGCCTCTTCCCAGCTCCTGTAAGTGGGGAATGTCACTGTTGTACAGGATACTATGTCCTTGTTCTGTGTATCTCCATGCCTTTGCTCTTCCGAGTCCACACTTCATACATAGAAGTTTTGAAAACATTTACCTAAGAATCTAGATTTCTCTAGACTCTACAATTTCTATGGGGAATAAAGGGCATGGTTTACACTGGATACAATTAACAGAATTTTCTTCTAAATAGCTTTGTTACAAATATCTTCGCTTGAGACTGGCACAGTGGCATAACCTGCTAATCCTCTGCCTGCTCCACTTTCAATCCAGCCCCCTGCTAATGTACTGGAAGAGTAGTGGAGGATGGCTCAAGGCCTTGGGCCTCTGCTCCCAGGCAGGCTATTGGAAGAAGCTCCTGCTACCCAGCTTTGAATCAGCTCAGCTCTGACTGTTGTGGAGTTAGGAAAGCTGGAGGACTTGTCTCTCTGTCTTACCTTTTCTGTCTCTGCAACTCTGACTTTCAAGTAAGATACATAAATCTTTAAAAATAAGAAAATATAAAAAAAACTTAATGGGCCTGGAGCAGTACCCTAGTGGCTAAAGTCCTCGCCTTGCACACACAGGATACCATGTGGGTGCCAGTTTCTGTCCCTGCTACTCCACTTCCCACCCAGCTCCCTGCCTGTGGCCTGGGAAAGCAGTAGAGAACTGCCCAAAGGCTTGGGACCCTGCACCTGCATGGGAGACCTAGACTAAGCTCCTGGCTCCTGGCTTTACTCAACTCGGCTCTGGCTATTGTGGCTCCTTGGGGAGTGAACCAGCGGGTAGAAGATCTTTCTCTCTGTCTACCTTTCACTCTATAAATCTGACGTTCCATTAAAAAGAATAAATCTGACTTTGTAATAAAAATAAAATAAATCTTGCCCATCTTTTCTACCTCTGAGCATCCCACTGGCCCCCTGCTGGGTTGCCTGTGAAGCTTGCCCAGCTCGACCTTGACCTTGCTTGGCTCAGCCTTCTCCACCCAGGCCAGGAACTCTGGCCTTCTTCATGCTTTGCCTGAAGCAGAGTTGCCCCACCTCTCCAATCTTGTCACTGTGGTGCAAGTCACTTAGCCCCACCCACGTGTCCAGGTGCGGTACTTACTATCAGGAAATTACACGGAAGATTTTGCAGGTAGCAACACTGGTTGCTAGGTGCTACGAGGAGGAAGACAGGAAATTGTAAACATAATTCTGCTGTCTCCTGTAATTTTTTTAAGGTATCCCTTGTAATTTTAGAAAATTAAAAAAAAAATCCCAACCACCATGTAACTTTGTTTACCATAAATACACAATTTTTTTAATTATTATTTTATCTGGAATTCTGGACATAAGGCCCCTTTAAGAACAGGTGGCAAAAGTTCAAGTCACTGAGCAATAGTTACCAGAATCAGGTTTGTTTCTCAATTCCGAGAGAAGAATCAAGTGTTCCACACTTGAGATCTCTCGGAGGGGAGCTGTTTTGGGGTGGTTCCATGGAGGCAGGAAGAAGATGGGGCAAAGGGGTGTGGAGTGTAGGGGAGCCTCCATGCAGCCAAAGTCCCTCCCTCCCCTTGTCCAGGTCGAGCTGCATCCTGGGCTTGGAAAGGCCTTCTCCCCTGACAATCACCCAACACACCAGTTGAGCAGCTTCCGGAATGGACACACCCGAGGACTGGCTGCACCAGATTCAACCTCCAGGAAAACCTAGTGTCACCCTGCTGGACACGTGTCTGTCTTTGGGCCTTCCCATTGGTCTCTCAAGTTCAGTCTCATTCTCATGGTCATGAAACCCTTGAAGCTGATGGATTTGAACCCATGACCACACACACTCATGCAGGGTTCTGAATAGATACTGTGCATGTATTTTAACGGGGCGGGGTGGGGGGGTGGGCTCATGTTTTATTTCAGAATTACTCTACAAAAATTATCCTCGTGGGTCAGCGCAGTGGTCTAGCGTGGTAATCCTCTGCCTCGCCATCAGCTCCCACGTGGGTGCTGGTTCTATTCCCAGCTGTTTCATGTTCAATGCAGCTCCCTGCTTATGGCCTCAGAAAATAATGGAGGATGGCCCAAGTACTTGGACCCCTGCACCCACATGGGAGACCTAAAAGAAGCTCCTGGCTCCTGGCTTCAGACCAGTTCAGCTGTAGCTGACATGACAATTTAGAAAGTGAATCAGCAGAGGGAAGGGATGTGTGTGTGTGTGTGTGTGTGTGTGTGTGCGTGTGCGTGTGTGTGTCCTCTCTCTGTAACTTTGCCTTTTAATAATGGTCTGCAACCACCATCTATGACAACTTAGCGACTGACCTGAGCCAGGACTG